CTTCATCCATACTAATATGTTCCTTCATCCATACTAATATGTTCCTTCATCCATACTAATATGTTCCTTCATCCATACTAATATGTTCCTTCATCCATACTAATATGTTCCTTCATACATACTAATGTGTTCATTTATCCGCCCGTGTATTCTGATCATCCTCCCATGTTCATAAGTTTATTTATTCCTTGTTTCTTTTCCTCCCCAATGTTCATAAGTTCCTTCACAATACTCTCATGTTCCTTCATCCATGCTCATATGTTCTTCATCCTTACTAACATGTTCCTTAATCCTATTATTGCTGTTATTGTTGCTTAAATGTTCCTTCATATATCTGCATGCTCATGTGTTCTTTATCCTTACTAACATGTTCTGTTATTTTATCCTCTTATTGCTGTTACTTTCCCCCAGGCATGATTGTTCCTTAATTCACTTTTAGCAGATCTTCCCCTCCATACTCACGTGTTCCTTCATCCAAATATTCATGCTGAACTTGAAGTTAATTAAACCGTATTTCCAGCGTTTGCATTTGCTTGCCAGTAGACCAGAAAATCTGCCAGATGGACATATTCTGCTCTTTAAAATCAATTTAAGAAATACAGATAAATTGATGCTATTTATCAAACAAGTGTTTTTATTTTTTATTTGCTTCTAGACTAATATTTGGTCCACTAAGTTAAATTCAGAGTAAATTCATAATATTCATAATTCTACCTTAATTCTATTTCTCGTGCACCATACCTTATTAAATGGTCAATTAGGTTTATCGTTCATAATATCTCTCAAATGTATTTGTCTCCATTTATAGATATACTGAATTAAGTAAAACTCCCAGTCCTCTAACTATTCTATCATCTCATCTCGTTTTCAAGCAATTGATTATATCAAAGCAGTTAAACATCTTTACTATTTGAAAGGATAGAGTTTTGCCGCGTCAGCAAATATTTGTCACGCGGCGCGCAGCTAACATTCCGCAGTTTGGTTTGGTACACGGCCCGTAGTAAATACTCCTAGTAAAGGACCGCAGTTTGCCTTCCTTACCCGTTCATGCGGCAGCAACTGTACATAGACACAGGTGCGGTACATGTTAAGGGTTTAGTGCAAGTACATAAACTGTGAGTAGTACCTGTAAAATGACAAACACAAAGTTGTACAAAACATTTTTTTATTCCTCCTCAATCTTTCAATCAAGAAAGAATGTATTTATTTTTATTCTACAGACATTGATGAAGGGTGTTCTATTAAGAGTTCTGATGCACACATTTACAGAACAAATATATATATACTTACAACACTCTTGTTCAGCAGACATTATATTTGTGAAATATTTGAATAATCCTGGGAATTTATATTTCTCTTTGTTTGTGCTGAAGTAGAATTTATCTTTGTACGTTGCGAACGAGTCTAATGTTCTTATATTCATGAAAGCAGGATAATAAAGAGACTGTTAATGGTATTTCAATTGTGCCCCCCCCCCCGCCCCAATTAAAGAATTGTATGCATACAATTCACACCAAACCCTTAACATACACCTTTATTCGAACAACAAATAGATATTGTTGTTTTGTATCTTAAAACGTGTTGCGGCACAAATCCGCTAGACGCTTAAACATGAGAGAAGACACAAAAAGAAAATTTAAAATTATTAGGGCGACAAGCAAATTCTTTTAAATGATAAACACCTTAAATAATTCCCTTAAAGCCCTAACATATATCATCACTGTTAAATATAGAAATGGTTTGGTCGAATTCATCCCTGGAAAAAGTCACTTAACCCCTTTGAGTAAATTTCTCGTTTAATTAATAAACGTTCAAGGTGGGAGTTGATTATAGACATGAATTCACGTAATCTCTCATGTTTTTACTTCTATTCTAATGTTAATTAATAAGGTAGATTTTCATGAATGCTCACATGATCTCATGTTTTTAGAATTTGTGTTTAAAAAATACAATATTAAACAGTTATTAGTGGATCGAGCTATTTGTTTGTTATCTACAAAGACAAAAGGTCTATTTACATATATGGATAGATGAAAAATTAGATACTTAATAACTTGCCTTGAAAGTATAATCCTTCAAATTCTGCCCTACTTTAAAAATTAAAAGTAGTCCATTTTCCGACTTAATTAGAAACCTCCTAGATTTCTGAACGATCCCTTGAACCACGGACCCCCACTCTCACTCCCAAGCTACCCCCCCTGGAAAGGCAACGTTCAACAAATCTTCAACTTGAATGCTTTTAATTCCTACGTCAAGCCTTATCTAAGGATTTCCTCCTGTCATTTTATTCCTGAGTTTTTTAGACAAAATTGCAAATATTTTTCGACTTGGTGTTTCATTTCACCTTTTTGTGACGGATATCTGCTCACTTTATTAATATATTATATAATGTTAAAATCTAGATGTATAAACGTTTAGTCGGGATGGCATATTAGTAAGAAAGGAATTGAGTCACAAACTCAAATTTGCTGATCTCTATATCTTTGCAATCGGATAGTGTAAACCTTTTGCATTTCAATATTTCAATATTTCATTAGATTATTTATTAATTCAGAGTTTGAATTAATTTCAAGTGTCAGTTGATTCACAACTGCAGGGACCTTGAAAGCTTTGTCTGAACGCTGAAGATATTTGTCGTTTTCTCTTTAAAAATTCATTATTTTCTACTGTGGCTTACTCAATTTAATAAAATTGAAAAAATTTAACAGGTCTTCAGGTGAAAAAAACTTCGAACTTGAAATGACCAACCTTAAATATCCCTCTTTATATAATATATCTTCTACGCAGTGCGAAGTACGTCAAACCTTATAGAAATCTAACGTATAGAAACTGCTACGTATAGCAACATGGCGTATTTTCCGGGAGAACATTTTTTATATTTTTGAGAAACTAAATAATCAGTGTAAAGCAGATTTAGTTTTCATAAAATCCTTTTATTTAAATGGTAAATCGGAGTTTTATGAAATCATATTAGCATTACTGGAGAACTTTTTTTTATACTTTTAAGAATTTTTTTTTCTAAAAATAAAATTGTTGATAGCATTTTTATAAAATATCTTTTTTAATAGTAACACGCAATTTTATGTATAACCATATAATCATTAATTTATGTTGTCAGTACATCATAAGATCTGGGGGACCTTAAACACAATAGAGAGCAGTACAAATGTATGTATTAAACTATTTTGCTCCTTTAATGTCTATTGTCTAGGGTATGTTAAAAAAAATAGAAATGTTGATAATGATAATGATAAGCTACAATGTTTTACAAAAACGTTTAATTCCTTAAAAATATAAAAAATTTTCTCCCGGAAAATACGCCATGTTGCTATACGGAGCAGTTTCTATACGTTGGATTTCTATAAGGTTTGACGCCATATTATTTGTTTCATAGATTAATCAAAATTACAGATAGGACGCTAGATGCCGACTTTTTGTTCACAATAACCCTGAGGCAGAAGCCCAAAGGAGTTATGCGCAGTCGGTATAGTACAGGCTCTTTCTCTGACTTGTAATTCTACGCAGCATGCGCGTATCTCCTTTGGGCGTCTACCTTAGGGTTATTGTGAACGAAAACCCCTAAATCTTTAATTATAATTAGGATGTCAAGATCTTTAATATCTTTATATTAATGATGTCAAGATCTTTAATATCTTAATATTAAGGATGTCAAGATCTCGAATCTATCTTTATATTAAGGATATCAAAATCTTTAATCTATTTTCATATCAAGGATATTAAGATCTTTAATCTAAGTTTATATCAAGGATGTCAAGATATTTAATCTATCTTATTTCAAGGGTGTCAAGATATTTAATCTATTTTCATAATAAGGATGTCAAGATACTTAATCTATCTTTATATTAAGGATGTCAAGATCTTTAATCTGGCTTTATACAAGGATATCAAGATCTTTAATATCTTAATATTAATGATCTCAAGATCTTTAATCTGTCTTTATATAAGGATATCAAGTATTTAATCTGGCTTTATATCAAGGATATTAAGATCTTTAATCTAAGTTTATATCAAGGATGTCAAGATCTTGAAACTAAGTTTATATCAAGGATTTCAAGATCTTTAAACTATCTTTTTATTAAGGATGTCAAGATCTTTAATGGGTAGCAGAGCGGAGAGCCGAGCTGAGAGTAGAGATATATCGCCAGATCTGCAGAATAGAAAGGAAGATTGACCACCGCCATTTTTCATATCAATTAGCACATATCAAATTCTTTTAATATTTTCAAGCATTTTTAGTCTTAAAGGGATAATGCATGACTTTTTATAAGGTGTTTTTTTTTCAAAATTTCAAATGACTCCATTTATTGTGTGTATGGCAAATCGCAACGGTACCATAACACGCTTTGTCTTACCAAGAATACAATATCTTTTTTACATTATTCATCTGACAAAGTTTTTAGGGGTACCTTTGAGAATGAGACATGGCACTCTTTACGTAGATTCTTAAATGTAATTTTATTTGCAAATCTTTAATTTAATATTCACTGTGATGGCGATGGTTTTGTTAATTAAGATCTCTGTTCCTTGTATCTCGTACCTGGCCCTATCTGCCGGTCAGCGAACTAGAAAATCATCCTATAAACACTACGGGGCCCAGAAAGCCCCTGAACCAGATAAATGTATGATAGATCCAAGTGTCTGGTATCAGAGACCAACATCAAGGTAAATTATGTCTGATAGATCCAAGTGTCTGGTATCAGAGACCAACTTCAAGGAAAATTATGTCTAACAGATCCAAGTGTCTGGTATCAGAGACAAACTTCAAGGTAAATTATGTCTGATAGATCCAGGTGTCTGGTATCAGAGACGAACTGCAAGGTAAATTATGTCTGATAGATCCAAGTGTCTGGTATCAGAGACCAGCTTCAAGGTAAATTATGTCTGATAGATCCAGGTGTCTGGAATCAGAGACCAGCTTCAAGGTAAATTATGTCTGATAGATCCAAGTGTCTGGTATCAGAGACCAACATCAAGGTAAATATGTCTTATAGATCCAGGTGTCTGGTATCAGAGACCAGCTTTACAAGGTAAATTATGTCTGATAGATCGAAGTGTCTGGTATCAGAGACCAACATCAAGGTAAATATGTCTTATAGATCCAGGTGTCTGGTATCAGAGACCAGCTTTAAGGTAAAATATGTCTGATAGATTCAAGTGTCTGGTATCAGAGACAAACTTCAAGGTAAAAATGTTTGATGATCCAAGTTTCTGATATCAGAGACCAGCTTTAAGGTAAAATATGTCTGATAGATCCAAGTGTCTTGTATCAGAGACCAACATCAAGGTAAATTATGTCTGATAGATCCAAGTGTCTGGTATCAGAGACCAACATCAAGGTAAATTATGTCTGATAGATCCAAGTGTCTGGTATCAGAGACCAACTTCAAGGTAAGCATGTCTGACAGATCCAGGTGTCTGGTATCAGAGACCAACTACAAGGTAAATTATGTTTAATAGATCCAAGTTTTTTGTATCAGAGACCAGCTTTAAGGTAAAATATGTCTGATAGATCCAGGTGTCTGGTATCAGAGACCAGCTTTACGGTAAAATATGTCTGATAGATCGAAGTGTCTGGTATCAGTGACCAACTTCAAGGTAAATATGTCTGATAGATCCCAGTTTCTGGTATCAGAGACAAACATCAAGATAAATATGTCATATAGATCCAGGTGTCTAGTATCAGAGACCAGCTTTACGGTAAAATATGTCTGATAGATCGAAGTGTCTGGTATCAGAGACAAACTTCAAGGTAAAATATGTCTGATAGATCCAAGTGTCTGGTATCAGAGACCACCTGGATATCCCGTCGTGAATTTTCAGGGCTAACTAAACTGATGGGATTAAACTCTTTCAAAATCTTTCAAAAATTTAAAAGTTGTCACAGTATAGATATTAAGATTAAGAAGTTTTGACGTCTGTTTGTTTAAGGCGTGTAGGTCGGGCTAGCTCTGAGGGTCCCAGCACGACTAACATGAGTACAACCAACGGTACAGTACAACGAAAGAAGTCCAGTGCTATGTACTTCTTACCGACCAACAATGAGAGTCCAGTGATGGTGATAAAAAAGCATCCCCATGAATCAGGGAGGAAGGATAGTTTTGACAGTGGAATCGGAATGCAGGTATGATATGCAATCAGAGCTGAAAACTTTAGAATGAGATATCCTTAATCCCGATTACTTAATCTGAGTATGGACACACTCTTGATGTACTTTTTAATCCTCTCTTTTTGGATATCCCTACTGATATCCGATTGAATTAAAGTCAGCTATTCACAAGCCGGCTTTTAGAGCATATAAACAAATATAAATTTAATCATGTTAAGATGAACTTATTAAATCAAACAACATAATTAATCACATTTAAGGACTAAACTGTCTTAATAAACATTAATCCAAATTTACTTTCATTCAATCGATGTTTAGTTCAATTGATATAACATTGACACCAGCAACACCAGAAATAAAAACCGGGGTTTTAAAAGATAAATCGAGTACATCTTAAAATTGCACGCTGATTGGTTAAATTTTAACTTCTTTCTTGGATATCGAATGCGTATTAAAATAATCTCGGGTTTAGTAAAACAAGGACTTTAAGCATTAATCTTGATATCCATCATTCTAAAGTTTTCAGCTCAGGGTATATAATTTAGGGTTCTTTAGACTTATTTTATGCTTGATACACACATTTCACGCCTTTTAACCTAAAGTATTTCCTTAATAACCTTGATAAAAATTATTTCTTGTTTTTTTTGTTTCTAACATAATTTATCCAAAATTTATTTCAAAAGACAATAAGGTTGAATTTACAAATGTAAAACATTTTCTATTTTCTTATTCGTGGACGAGACATGTATTTTCATTTTCATTTTATACATTTCTATTTTCTTATTCGTGGACGAGACATGTATTTTCATTTTCATTTTATATATTTCTATTTTCTTATTCGTGGAGAGACATGTATTTTCATTTTCATTTTATACATTTCTTTTTTCTTATTCGTGGACGAGACATGTATTTTCATTTTCATTTTATACATTTCTTTTTTCTTATTCGTGGACGAGACATGTATTTTCATTTTTATTTTATACATTTCTTTTTTCTTATGTCTATTCTTAAGTTGTTTATAATACTACTATTTAATTAAAATAACAATAATAATCTTTTTCGAAGAGTAAATTCATGTTAATTTACTAAAGAAATAAATAAATTTTATCATCTTTGTTATCTCTTTTTCTTTTGGACAACCCGTACATATTTAGTAAATGAAATACTCACATTAAATACCAAAAACTGAGTTTTTTCTTTAAAATTTGATCAAGACTATTTAAATTCGAATAATATTTAATTTGGATTTTTAGTCTTTGAAGAATTTAGAAATTTTTTATTTTTTTTGAAGAGATTTTGTTTGTTCTAAAGTGACCCATCACTGTACACAATTGGAGGATTTCTATTTCTCTCCTTGTCTTTTCTGCGTAAATGCACAAAAGGAATTGAGTCTTTGCCACAAACTCAAGTTTTGTATTCCTATATCTTTGCAACCTGGTGGTGTAAATCTTTGATATTCATAGTTTTGAAATATCTGAAGTTGTAGACATTGGGTTGAAAACATATAGAAATTAGAAAATCAGAGTTTGTGGCAAAGGCTCAATTTCTTTAAGATAAAAAATATATTTCTATCTTTTTTTTGCAATCATACTGTAGAATGACTCGGAGGAAACTTTAAAAATGAATGAACATAAAAATTCCTTAAAAGTATGAAGTAATATTAACCTAGATAGTTCAATGTTTTAACAAAATGATTCAATGAATGAACCAGGTTGAAACTATTAAATGAAACAAGTTGCAAACTAATAAAGTGGTATTTTCCTTTCAACTTCGAGAACACACAAGGAGTTACAGTAATTTAAAGATAAAATAGGCTATGAGATAAAACATAGTCACGTGATAAAAATGTTGGAGAAATTCCACACGGGCAGCCGTAGTACATTTGAATTTCCGAACCGGGTCAACCTTTCCAGTCCCAGTTTGTACTGTATCGCCTGGACATTGGGTAAACAAAGCAGACACTCAATAGGACTAGCCGGTGCAACAAGGTTGACGCGGTCAGACTTTAGGTTGAATTTACCTTTTCTAAAGGGTCAGAGGTGCGTGTCCAACTTCTCTTTCCATCACTGTTAAAGTATTAACAGTTACGATTTTAATACTAAGTAAAATTTTACGATTTTTTGCCCCTAGGGACCCATACATTATCTAACCAGCGAATATAGATATCTACATTCCTATAGATATTTTGCCCCTAGGGACCCATACATTATCTAACGTCTAGTATCCGAGGAGGTTAAAAGCATTTAATTTTGATAATTTTGAAAATTCACATAATAGTTTCGTATGACCAGAATATTTCATACATTATTTTTGCTTGATTCTATGTCAGGCTGTTACATTCGTCTTGTGTTTACCTTTCCGCCCAACGACAGTACACTGCAGTAAAAAATATGCGTACACCTCTGTAATAACTTTCCTTGCATTAGTACCTTTCAACGTATCATCTTGTATCACAGTTAAAAAAGGGCTAGGAAAGACATTTACAATCGTTTTTCTAAGGGTTAGTTGAGAACTAGGTGGACTAAGTAGAATCTTGTGTTTTAGTTAATAAAAACTATGGAAACCACGTAGAATTATGTATTAGTGTATTAGTTAATGTAGAACTAAAACTACGTAGAATCTTTGTGTTTATTTAATGGAAAACTAGGGGAACCAAGAAGAATCTTGTGTTTTAATTAAAGGAGAACTAGTGAACCACGTAGAATCTTGTCTTTGATGAACAAAGAACTTGGAGAACCACGTAGAACCTTGTGTGTTTAGTTACTAGAGAACTAGATGAACCACGTAGAACCTTGTGTGTTTAGTTACTAGAGAACTAGATGAACCACGTAAAATCTTTTGTTTTAGTTAATAGAGAACTAGGGCATCCACGACGAATCCTGTGTGTTAAGTTAATAGAGAACTGGGTGAACCACGTAGAATCTTGTGTTTTAGTTAAAAGAAAACTATTGGAACCACGTAGAATATTGTGTGTTTAGTTAATAGAGAACTGGGTGAACCACGTAGAATATTGTGTGTTTAATTAAAAGAGAACTATAGGAACCACGTAGAGTCTTGTGTTTTAGTTAAAAGAGAACTATTGGAACCACGTAGAATCTTGTGTTTGGAGAAGAGACAAGAAAGAAATACGTAGAGTCTCTAATTCATAAAATAATGCACAGGGTGTCCATTGTATTGCAGAGAGTCCATTATTTTACACAGGGTGTCCATTGTATTGCAGAGGGATTCCATTATTTTACACAGGGTGTCCATTGTATTGCAGAGGGAGTCCATTATTTTACACAGGGTGTCCATTGTATTGCAGAGGGATTCCATTATTTTACACAGGGTGTCCATTGTATTACACATATAATACAATTAAATTTATTTTGATAAATTTGTAATTCACAAAGCAGAAAGAAATGAAATTCACAAAGCAGAAAGAAATGATATTTCCTATTTGTCAGAATGCATTTCACATTGAAGCAAAGAATTCGCTTTCGAAAGAACACGGGCAGCCTTGTACATTTGAATTTCCAAGCCGGGTCAACCTTTCATGTCCCAGTTTGTACTGTATTGCCCGTACATTGGGTAAATATAGCAGACACTCAATAGGACTAGCCGGTGCAACAAGGTTGACGCGGTCAGACTTTAGGTTGAATTTACTTTTACTAAAGGGTCAGAGGAGCGTGAGAATAGTATAGTGAGACCAGAAATCTGTGGAACGGGCCTATTTACTCTATAAAATGTTCCTATGTTCATTGGACTATTTAAAGTCATAGCTAGAGTCTAAAAGTCGTCTTCCTGTTCCACAGTTTTCGGGTTCTCACTTGAAAAAAATATTATGTAGCCTTTGCCCTTACTGGCTTCAGAGGCGTAGTGGAGGTTTAGCCGAGGAGGGTGAACTTTTTTTGTGTGCACCCCCCCCTCCCAACGGTTGATGTGCAACCCCCTAAAAAAAACCATATGAAGAAAAAAATTAAAGCTTAAAATCTATACTAATCTACCGGACTATTGGTCATCTGACCATAATTACCAATCATACCATTATAAAATCTAGTAGTAAAAGAGCAAAAAGCTGGAAAAAATTAATTTTTTGAGTATACAACATATATCATACATCATTTAAAGCTTAATAAAACTCTGCGTCAAAATTTTGCTCTGAGAGACTGAAATGGATTTTAAATAATATTGTAAATAATCAAGGTTGTAATGCAAGGAACGTTAATTGATGTCGCGTATACTCTTCGTACATATTGAAACCAGTTCTCTCTGGGCGGAATTTGTAAACAAGAATAGATGCATCAGAGTTCGTTTAGTATCCGAGGAGGTTAAAAGCATTAAATTTAGATAATTTTGATAATTCACATAATGATTTCGTATAACCAGAATATTTCATTGATTCTTTTTATGTGAAAGATGGATTCCATGTCAGGCTTCGACATCCGTCTTGTGTTTACATTACCGCCCAAAGACAGTACACTGCAGTACAAAAGATGTGTACACTTCTGAAATAACTTTCCTTGCATTACATCCTTGATAAATAATAATAATAAGATATTGTAAAGGAGATTAAGGTCCAAGAAAGAATTTGAGAAACTATCATAAAATGGACAAATTGTGACATTGTCAATTGGATTGAAATGAAAAAATTCTGAATATATATTTAAGTTTAATATATTAGAGCTTGCCGCCTCTGGCTCTAGGGGGGGAGGCCTAGGGGGTGCACAGGGTACCGCCCCCCCCTCCACTACGCCCCTGACTGGCTTGCACATTTGACGTCTTGTATGTACCGAAAAATAAAATAAAATGTGATGAAATAATCAAAAATATTTTTGGAACATTGAAAAAAAAATGGCGAAACAAAATTTTATTGGAAAAAAGAAATTTTTAGAAAAATTGCATTGGAAAATGTTTATTCTATTTCTTTTCAATATTTTATAATTTTATATTTTTAAATCGGACAGTCCAGTCTACAACATGGAGGGTCACAAATCTTTAGTACTTTTATTTCCTGAAAGAAGGGTTCCATCGTCTCGTCTTAAAAGATTCTAAACCGAAACTTAAAGGGACAGACCGGCTATGTAAGGTAGTTAAACTTAGTATGCAGTAATATGGACAGATTCTTTAGAATTCATTTGAGACATATAAAACTTTTTCACGATGTATAATTACTGAGTTTGATTGCAAAGTCGACGTTTAAAATCATGAATTTGGGTGGGTACGTTTTCAGAATCGTTTTTTTTAAATTATTAAATAACGACGACGAAAAA